CCCCAAAACCCCAAAACCCCATGCATTTATTAAAATCATATATAAGAAAATATTGAATTTAGAAATTAAAAATATTCCAATATATTGAGATTATTTGCAAAAGCATCAATAATCTAATGGTAGTTTGTTTGACTTCTATATTCTTTCCAGCTTAAATTTCAAATCATCTTTTAGAGTTTTCCTTTCTTATTTATATTATTTAACTTTAAGATTACTCCTCTATGGTTCATTTGCATTATTTTAGTCAATCGGAGCTTTATAGTAACTATTCATTTATGTAGCCAAAGTCTTGTTATCCTGTATATTTGTAACGTAATTTATCAAATTAATCTATGTCTAGTTATTTATTGTATCACTTATAGGGACTGATAACAATTCGTGGATATGTGTGCTTTTTTAATTAGATTAGTTTTATGAGATTCCATCTCTTTAACTCAACTCAAATAAACTATAGTTATCTAGAAGCTCTCTATCTGTAAAAGCAGATTTATGATGATTTCTTCTAGATTTTAATTTACTTCTGTTCTTAGTTTTTAAGTTAATCAGAGACTTAGCGTTTTAAATAGTAAGCTACCTATCTTCATCGTTTGAATCTAAAGAATCTGAATGCTGCTTAATATTATTATTTTGTTCTACATTGATCTTTGCTTTCTTAAATTTATTTGTATCTTCATTTACCAATGCTAGATGTCTGAATATTTTTGCAACAGTTAGCATCATTTCAAGTTTAAATTAGGATGAAAATGCGTAAATGAATAGAGTAAAAAACCAGACATTAAACGCTATTATGATACTTAGGGTAGCATAACGATTCCAATCTGCAAATTCAGAGTTTATGAAGAATAGTGATCCGAAGAAGGTAACCAATGTTGTAAGCATCTCTCTTTATTCTAGCTCATTTATCAATGGATTTTGATAGGGCTTTAATCTCATTTATATTCTATAGATGGTTGAAAGTACTATGAAGCTAACCATCAACTTGAAAAGGGAGAGTGATGTTTAAAGAGTGATGCTAATTAACACCAAAAAGAATTTTCTGAAAAGATTGACAAATTCCCAATAAAACTAATCCTTTTTTAATCCACTGCAAATGAATTTAAATTTTTCATTGAAACTATGAGTTTTATACACTTCTCTTTAGTTAAATATTAGCCATAATGTTTTAAGCGGCAAAATAATGAGCCATATCAGTACAATCGGCAGCCCGATCAAAAGTCCTAGTTTTATGTGTTGACCATCAAAACAATTAACTTCCATATCACTTTAAAGCCAGTATTCACCCTTGTCGAGCTCGATGCAAAAAAATAAATTGAAAATCGATCTAACAATTGTAGGATAAGTAAAATGCATTACAATTATTATCATCAATACGAACCAAAAGCGAGCTCTCTAAAGTTAAGTTTATTTACTAACAATCATAAATAAAAATCCAAAAGCGAATAGTGAAATTATTAGGATTGGCAAAAATCCAATAATCATAGTTTTTATGTAAATACTCAAATGGCTCTCTTTATTAGAATTGCTAGAACTAATAAGACAATCAATATACATAGCATTTTGAACTGAATCTCCAATATGTGAGAAAGATTCAAGAAATCTTTGTAATGGGCCTGGCCAGCCAAGATTCATCACATTAGTACATGATAATATTTAAAAGAAATTTGTAAGAACTCTTGATAGTACTGGTATATCTGAGTTTATATCATACTTGATATTGACAACTACCAAGATAACGAGATATATAGATATTGGTAAAATTGCTTCAAGAACTAAGAAATTTATTCCTTGGTCCGGGCAAGCCACACAATTGTAAGGCTGAGTTCTAGAATATTGAGTACCATTAACATTGACACAAACTTAGCAAAGATTTCCCCCATAGCCTATTGCACATTATTAATCAATAGAACTATTAAGATTTTATAAGCTTCCACCAAGGCAAGAATCTGCAAATAAACATTTATGAATTTATCCTGAAGTATTTGATGACCTCCAGTATCCTTGATTTAGGCTAATTTAGCTTCCTCCTAAACATTCTGCAAATTTAGGACAATTTAGGCATTAGCTCTAATCATTATCAAATCTGTATGTTCCATAGTCACATTTAACACATCTAGTTAAGTTATTAAATATTATCTTACGCCAATGAACTTTCTGTTTCACCTTAATCACATTTTTGAGAATCAAAGCTTAAAATTTCCTGATTAAATAAAACATTATCGCTTAAATTGTATATCTCCCTTAACTCATTGTTATTAATATTCGTAGCGTAAATTTTAAACTGCACATTTTACAATCCTGGCTTAGCCAATATTATGAGATCATCAAATTTAACCAAGCCTGCTTCTGCCTTGCTCTAGGTTTTGCCAACTACAGATGAAAATGTTGAATTCATTTGAACAATCTTAAGATTTCTATAAGTTTAACTATTTAATTGATTTACGTTGAATAGTCATTGGTAATCCTATTATTTTAGAAATCAAGAACTTCAAATTTGATTAACTCTTTATATTTTACTCCAGATTTTATATTCCTGTCAGGTATTTCTCCAACAAGTTTGATATTGAAGGGAATACTTCCAATATCTTCACCATATGGAGCAGAGTTGTTAATGAATTCATTTGAGAGGATATGAATTGGCTAGTTTTTATTGTAGTTTATTGCTCCACCTTAAATAGTAGCAATATTCCTTGTAAAAGTATTGTTGAATATCTCATAAGAACATTACTCAGCTAAAAAATGAATTCAATTCTAAATTCTTACACTAGCTACAAAATAAGGATATAGCTCCACCTATTAATGCTTATGAATTTTAAATTCTAGAATTTTTCATTGATAGACTGCCTTATATTAAATAAAAGGATCCACCAATCGAATTAGACCTTAAATTCTAGAAATTAGAATCAAATATGATTATCTGTGACTTGTATGAATTTACTACTCTATAATTGGCAGAATGCTAACTGACTATCGTTTAATCCTAAGCATTTTCAGATATTTATTCACTGTCAACACTCGATGAGATGAATTCTAGAAGTGAATATTGTATGTATATCAATTCTTTATTGAAGTTTGTAACATTTGATGTGACTATGCTTATCTGTTGAGATCTTAATATATTAAAAATAGCTCTTTCTATGGAAAAAACATGAGAAATTGATGAATCTTTGATAATAAGTTTCGACGAGTCTACAGTGAAGAAATTCTAATATACTCTGTTTAGATGAGCATTACTTATTGATACATTATTTAAGTAAATGTTAGAGTCTTAAGATTTTACTATTGATACATTGATGTTCTTGAATTCTGAGTTATTAATCCATAAACTAGTGTTTAATGTAACTTAAATTAGCTGCTGAAACTAATCTTTTTACTATTCCACTTCATAAGTAAAGTTTTATAATCTAACATTGATGAGTTAAGTTTTGCAATTAGATAGACTAATAATTGAGTCATCACTTTATAATATTTGGAAAGAAGATAGCTCAATATCCTAAAATATAATCTCTCCAGCAAAACATCCAATGAAACTGTTTTGTTATTGAATTTAAGTATTATTTGAGAATTATAGTTTAGACTTCTGAACTTTTATACTTTACTAATTCTGTGTAAACTACTTTAATTCAGGAATCTAAGCTTTTAGAAATGTTTAAAAATTTTCATCTTTAAGGATATAGTTTCTTGGGAAAGAATCTAACTTGACCAATATATTATTGGTAAAGAAATCTGAAGAAAAGTTTGAGAAATTATCTAAGCTATCACTAATGTATGATATAGACGAATCATAGGCTTCATTACCAGTAATATTTGAGTTTGAAATACTAAAAGATCCAGCATTTGAAACCATAATAATTCCGCCATATATAGCAAAATTTTCTGAGAATCATGAGTTGTCTATAATAATTTGACCTTAATAGTGGATGTAAAATACTCCTCCTTTGTATGCATAATTATTAACAAAAGAGCAATTGTTGAAGTAAGAGTATGTAGATTTATAGTCTGCAAATAAAATACTTCCTCTAGAAATGGAATAATTGTCTTCGAAATTAGAATTGTGAACAAACAGCTTGGAATTCGTTTATACTCTAATTAGTCCATCAACTTCAGGCTTATTTAATTTAAAGGTAGAATTATGAATTTCAAGTTTTAAAGGTAAATTCGTGTTGACCTAATCATTTGCTCTCAGAAATATTTACCCTCTTGTATTATTAATGAAGGTTGTATTTACTATTAACATTGGATTTATTTCGTTTTGAAAAAGATCAATTAAATAACCTCCTCCAAAAAAGTAATTATTCTCAAATGAGGAATTAGCAATCAAGATTGTAGTATTTAACTTATTGCTGTAGGAATCAATTTTTATTAGACTGTTCTCTTTTTTTACTCTACTTTTTCTTAGCATTACATTATTTATTTCTACATAGTATCTATCTGTTGGTACTAGTTTGTTAATTTAATTGTATCCTTGGAATAATAAAAAGTTAAGCTCATTGTTATCTATAATCACATTCTTGAAAACTGTATTCCATATTAGAGATGCATAGAGATCCATTGCTACTATCTTTACTATAAAGGATCCTTGCTTGAAACTGTCAATGTAAGTAAAGTTAATGAAGCTAGAGTCATAAATTTGTAAACTTTACATTTTAAATTGATACATGTAATAACTACTAGAGTAAAGCTCTATAAGTTGGACTATTATATAACTATGAAATTTACACTCATTTCTAAAGGTAGAATTTCTTATGATGATTTGACTTGATCTATCAAAAGATATTGCACTGTTGGCATAGACTTTATTGTTTTCGAATAAAAGATTATTGAACTCAGCTATGGCATTATTAGGAGTGCCTGAAAACTTGGTAACAATTTGTGCATCAATCTTTTCATTAACTAAAAATTCTAAAATAAAATAGATATACAAGTAATATTTCTAATAGTCATTCGATTGATACAAAGGTAAGTTGCTCTTTATGGAAAAATTATTCCTTTAGCTAAGTAGAGCGAATTTTCATAAGTAAAATCTATATTTTTAACGTATTATAATATTACTATTGATGTATATTTTTCCAGGACAAGTTATGTTTACTATACCTCCGTGAACCTATTTATGAGTCAGATTTTAAATGTAAACATTGTTCAAGGTCAATTCAGTTAAACTAGTTCCTATAAACAAAACTGTTTGAGATGTGTAAACATCTATCATCGTAATGTTTTCTACAAGATATTAGAAATTTCTCAGTCTGTCGGAACCTTTATGAAACTGAATATAAAACACATTGGCTACATTTACTCTGCTTGGTATATCTTTGATTATTACATTGGTGAATCTTTAAATTTTGGTTCTTCCATCGTTTATTGGAACAATGCAAGTATCAATTGATGTCAAACTGAATTGCAGATAGTTAGCATCAGTTAAATATGTGAAGGAAGAAATGGTAATATTGTCAAATGTAAAGTTATGATTCTAATGGAAAAGCATCATAACTTTCTTCTGCTCAATTTTTCTATCTCCAAATATAGTCACATTTCTAATGAAAATATCTCCATAGGTAGCATATGATTTTAAAGTGGAACAATCATGCAGAATCTCAATAGCAAAATTCAAGTATTCTACATTTATCAATGAATTAGTGAGGTAAAAGTTTAAAGGATTTCCAGTCTGGAAAATTGATCCTGCCATGCTGAATATTAAATTCTAAAAAAAATCAATAAATATATTAGTATACTTACATCTAGTATAATATGCCCATATTATATATCCTTTGCAAACAAAAACTAATCTTCCTCATTAACAAGTGAACATTCGTCTGTATTAATGATTTTAAAAATAAATTACTTGATATTTCTAAATTTGCTATTGTTAAATTACTGTTAATAACATTAAAATAAGCACCTGAATGTTCAATCTATTGCTAAAATTCTTCTAAACTTTTATCTGATAAATGGTAATTTCTACTAATATCGTATTATCTACTACCAATGAGCGAGAAATATGTTGATTCGGATTATTTATATTTTTTCGATTTAAAAATCTGAAGTCGAGATTTTAATCCATATTTTTATTAATTAATTTCATCGAATGTCCTATTTATATTATTTTTAAAATATTTTATTACCGAATTATGAGGTTTTTAGCTCCATCAATCAGATGCTGTTCAAGCTATGTGTTGAATGCTAAAGTTTAATTCTATTTAATCAAAATTTCAAATGAATATTAGTCAGCAGGTAGGTTGTTGAATATCTCTAACAAAGGTGAGTCTAGAGTTTTGTAAGGATACTATTCAGTACCTAACTCCAAATATTTCTTTGAATTTCCGTCTACATATATTTTTTATCCTATTTTTAGAATTTATTAGTTATCTTAAAAATATACCTCGACAGTATTTCTAAAGTGTACTGCTATTAATGTTTGAGACTGGGATTAAATCAATTGGACAAATATACAAACAAGATAGCGAATTCAAATCAAAGTATTTATTTTGATCGCAAATTTAACATTCTTTAGAATTATTGCACTAGTTTACAGCACATCCGATACAATCTAATATTGGATTTTTTGCTTCCTTTAAAAATTCTAGTCAACTTATTAGCTCAACTATATTTTGTAATGTATTAAAAGTAATTATTACATTTACAGGTTTTACTGGTTTCATCAAAGAAATTTCCGTCCTCACAAATGGAAATTGATTGAATATTATTTCACAATAATAGTATAATAAGCTGTAGTTAGAGGATTAACATTGAAGTGTAGGATAGTTAGCGAAATCTTATTATTGGGAAGTTCATTTTATTCAAATTGATTTATAATTTATAATTCGTTATCCTTGAATCTATAAAGTATTTAATTTTTAACAAAGTTTAATCCTGTGTTTTCTATCAAAATCTATAAACATATTCATGGGGTTTTGGGGTTTTGGGG